AAGGATTATTTGGGTACCCTTTTTATTCCATTATTGCTTTTTTGATCGTTAAATTTGGATGCAGGCCCGAGAAGCTGCAATTGTAGCTGCACATGGAAAAATGGTAGATTTCCAAAGAAGAAAGAGTAATTCTTATATCTTTTATCACTACCCTTATGGGCATTGGCCACCAGAAAAGCTTCATAGTTAGCTTCATAAGGTACATTAGCGTACTCTTCCAAGGTCTCTGGCTCATTGTCATGGGTTTCATGCTTTGGACTAGAAGCTTGATTCCGAAATTAGTAGAGAAGCAAACCAACGGGAATAAGCAGTGATCTTTAATTTCCAAAAACCAGGAATATAACCAGAAAATGCAATAGAATATAAAAGAATTCTATTAAAATTCTGATGAAAATGCCCCTGTATGAGCGTCCGGAACAGCGACATGAAGCGGATAAGCTCAATGAAAAGAATACCATCCACAATGTGACCAAAATACCCCTTGGACAAATACGCATAATTAAAATGACAGGCTCCGACATTCCTTATCTTCTTTAAATCAATATCACTCATATCAAAATACTTGTGATTAGTCTGGTGTCTTCTGGTTATTCCGCTGAAATTTCAATTTTTACAAAATGACGAATATACCCTTTAAGTCATTTCTTGAATAACCCTCTTTTATTAATGTGTGGTTGATAAATATTACTTTCAAAGGTCAAACTTTCACAGTGTGTGAATTTAGTATTTTTTTATCATTGCTAGATAGTTTTTTACTAATTATTATTTTTACACCATGTATTCCAGGCATGTAAAAAACTCAACCAAATTGAGCTCTCTTATTGTGAGATTTATGCCTCTTGTGAGCCCTGTCCTATGTGCTTTGGTGACATTCTTCTTTCAAGAATCAAGGTGCATTTTCCTCTCTAATCCAAATGATATCTTTACCCTTTTGTCTAAAAATGAGAGTAAAGTTACAACACTACAACCTTTTATGTTTTGCTTTAACAAAGAGTGTAAATGACCATTTTACCCCTAAAATCCAAAAAAGGATCCGTTATTTAGTTTATTTATGTGAATGCAGAGGTTGGTTTATGGGGCAAAAGCATAAGCAGCAATTGCAATTGGGTTTGATGATTTCATTGCAGATGCATTAAGAGGCACTGGATTTTATCAAAGGGCTCATATGGAGATTAAAAAGGCAGATGGAAATGGAGCAGTTATTGCTGAACAAGTATTTGAAAACACCAAAGCCAAATTCTCCATGTATTGATTTCATTTCATACATTTTAACATTTCACATTTTCAACATTATTATTATTTCTCCATTGTTCTCAACAATTGATTACAGAATCTCAAGTTTTCTTTCATTAGACACTTCTTTCTAAAAGTCAAGTTGTTGTTCAAAAGAATCCATTTCTTTCTAAAAGTCAATCCGTTGTTCTTTCTTTATAATTTTTTTTTCAATTGACTGACAGTAAATGAAAGAATAGTTAATTAATTACAATATGTATTTATACCAATTATAATGCAATTAAATCCTTGTGGTATTCATATTTGGATTTCCATGTGAAAAAAATTGCACTTAACATTCATACCTAATGTAAATTGGAACCATTCCTTCAATTTTCAGTAGAGTTTTCCTATGTTCTTACATCATTGACACCATCTCTCTCTCTCTCTCTCTCTCTCTCTATTTCTGTATGACCAAGGGGCAAAATGGTCATTTTTTAATCAAAGTATGTTGGGTAAATGATATTAATTCCATGTAGTATCATATTTTTATATTAAATAACAATAATTTAATGTTCTTTTTGGTCGGATGATTTTGGGTTCAATCATATTCTGTGGGTTTATATTGGCCAACATGTGGTCCATTGTTGGGTTGGTGATGGAAAAGCAAGAAGGTAATAAAACTGTTTACAATATGAAGCATTAAGCACTCAGAATCGATCCTGGACCGGGGACGAACCGAACCGCATACCGTTAGTAGGTCCGATGATGGTTCTTCAAAATAATGAATTTCGGTCCTTCGGTTTTCGATTTGATTCCAAGGAAAATCGGAAAACCTGCATGTAAGAACCAGGAACAGGTTTGTATTCCATGATAGAATTATTGATTTCCATACCTTAATTATACGTGATATATAGGTTAATTAACTTAAATTGGAGTGATTTATGTTTCTTTTATATTTGCTATATTACTATTGTCTCACTTTGACATGTAAATTAACTTAAAGTTGAAAATAAGAAAGATAATTTTATAAAAGGCAGTATATATTCGAATTTTTAATCCATGACTTCTTTGACTATTTTTGTTTATAATGAGCTTCTTGGAAACTCAAAAAACACTGTAGAATTATCCTTTGTAAATTTCTTAAAATCAATATTTTTATTATTTTATCTCATCATGATTTCGGTTTAATTGTAGGTCGTTGTATTCCACAAGTAGGACTAGCAGGCAACATCATTAAAAAAGAAGCATGACAAAAGTCCAAACGTTGCTCCACACAACTTCAAAGCAATTGTTGTAATCCCAAAGACTTTTCCATTTATTTTATCTCAGGTAGTAGAAGTCTCTTCTTTTACTCTGTTTTTATAATCACACTAGGGAACACTTGCAAATGGGTCAAAATTCATACAAATATAAGAGGAAATGAGCCTTATAGTTGGTGGTTCCAACTTTGAGATGAAATCTTCTTTATAGTTCTCAATAGGGATTCAAATGGTAATACAAATCTGTATGAACTCATGTTATACTTGGTGACTTTGCATGTAATTACTTAAGCAATATGCTTTCATTTCCACTCTTTTTACCAGATGTGCAAGCAATATGATTATTTAAGGATTACGCATTTACACCGTTCTACTATGACTAAATTGTTGTAGATATTAGGTATATGGGTCGATATTACTAATTGTTATGTGGTATTTGAAGAGATGCTATAATTTGTTTTAAGATGTTACTTTTTGTCTTGGATCAAGTATGCACATGTTTGGTTCGTTGATTTCCGACAGAATCCAATGGAATTGGAATGATGGATTCCATTCCATGGTTTTGGTTGCCAAATCGATGGAATTCAGTTCTGTCACCACTACGATTTTCATACAGGATGTGTAACACCGTAATTTTTCAAACAGATTTTTCATCTTAAAATCGCATACTTTTCATAACATATTGTATGGAAATCTTGTTTATTCAAATTACAAAACACAACTCCATTAAAAATCCAGGATCCTCAAAACATAACTCTTTCTCTGGTGTGTACAATCAAGCCGGTGCCTTCCCGCGATTCCTGAGAACAACCTGAAACACATAACACATAACACGATAAGCACGAAGCTTAGTGAGTTCCCCAAAATACCACACATAACACATATTAGCCACTCGAGGCTATAACTCTGTGGGCCCTCTGGCCCTAACTCTGTGGACCCTCTAGTCCTAACTCTGTGGACCTTCCGGTCCTAACTCTGTAAACTCTGGAATACACACAGCATAAATCACATAGAAATAATGCAGTGCAACACATCACATACATATCATACAAGATACTCTGTCACATAACTCTAATTACCACTCAAGGTAAAGTATAGTGAGAAGACTCACCTGACAAGCAGCAAGTAAATACCCTCGCACCTGAAACTCGAACTAGCCTCCGCTTAGCACAAAAGATGAATATCTCTAATCAATACTCTTCACACGACCCAATAAATGAGGGCTATTCTTCTTTCTCTAACTCTTGAATTGGGTAAAAGACCATTTTACCCCTCCATGGTCTCCATTACTCATGTTGACCAAACCCCAGAGTCAACAGAAGTCAAACTCGAGTCAACAGTCCATGTCTGACCCGACTCGCCGAGTGCACCCTTGCGACTCGTCGAGTCCACTTACTTTCCTCAGAAATCTCTTGACAGTCCAGCTCAGCTCGTCGAGTTGACCCCCAACTCGTCGAGCTATCGCATGCTCAAGCTCATCGGGACAAACCCTCACTAACTCGTCGAGTCAACTCATGGACTCGACGAGTCCCCTCGGTCTGATTCCTCATTCAGACGTCCAAAGTCAGATCTCTCATTCCAAACCCTAGATCTAGCCCTTTAAGACACCAGAGACACATAAAGTCTCGACCTTTACGTTCATGCATGGCATAAATGCCTCAAAATGCCAAAACAAGCCCTTCTTAAGGTGTTAAGCACAACAACCCTCATTTGGATGAATAAAGTTGGGACCTTTGGACTCTAGGGACCTCACAAGGTCCAGATCTGAGGACTAAGCTTCTAGCTAATCCATTTTACTCAAAGTCCCAAACCAAAATGATTGGCAACTTACTTTCTTTCTTTTTGAATTTAGGAAGGTTATAATTAGTAACTTGACCATTCGTGTAGTGATTTTTGAGATGGACACTAACTTCATTTTTTCCATTTTCAAAATTATTGATGTACATTCTTAATTGTTTAGGTTATTTTACTTTGTCAATTGTATACCTTCTTAACTGTTTATGTTATTTTTCTAGTGTCGCAAATCAACATTAATATTTAGTGCTTTTGCATCTTGAGTGAGGATGCAAAGGAGGTTCGATAGATAGATCGGGGGTTAAACAAATGAAAGAGTAAAAAACTTGTATTAAAACAACACCGAATAGAACCAATATAAATCTTGGGTGCTCCTTACTACAAGTGATATGTGTTCCCCGCGTTTAACGCGAGTTATAATCTAGTATAATATTATAATACCACCATAACCATCATTTGAAATAGCAGAATAGATCGCTATTTAAATTCCAACCGGGTAAAATATAAATTAAAGGGCCTAATTTCCAACAGTATATATCTGGTTTTGTTAATAAAGCCGGCTCTTCGCCCTTTGCCTCCTAAATGAAATGGGCCACTGTGAAATGTAAACTTTATTTAACTCATATATATAAGTAATATAAATAAGAAGCGCCCACAGCAACCAAGCACACAACTAAAATCCTCTCCCCTCGTCATCGTTACTCCGTTAGTTTTCTCTCTAGCTCAGTCAAGATGGGGAGCAATCAAGCTGCAGTCTCCTTCCTCACTAATATAGTACGTGCGGCCTTTGGCCTCGGCACTGCCATCACGGTTGTTAATTCATCCCTATATACCGTCGACGGAGGCCAACGTGCCGTACTTTTCGATCGTTTCCGTGGAGTCATTGACGACACCGCCAGTGAAGGCACTCATTTCCTCATTCCATGGCTCCAGACACCCTACATATTTGATATTCGTACGAGGCCCCACACTTTCTCTTCGATCTCTGGTACCAAGGATCTACAGATGGTTAACCTAACTCTTCGGGTGCTATCTCGCCCCGACGTAAACCGGTTGCCCGCTATTTTTAAGACATTAGGTCTTGAATACGACGAGAAGGTTCTTCCGTCGATCGGAAACGAAGTTTTGAAGGCTGTTGTTGCTCAATTTAACGCCGATCAGCTTCTCACCGAACGTCCGCGCGTTTCGGCTTTGGTTCGTGATACTTTAATCCGCAGAGCTAAGGATTTTAACATCGTACTTGATGACGTTGCGATTACTCACTTATCGTATGGCGCTGAGTTTTCCAAGGCCGTGGAGCAGAAGCAAGTGGCGCAGCAAGAGGCTGAAAGATCAAAGTTTGTTGTCGCTAAGGCGGAGCAGGAGCGGAGGGCTGCCATTATCAGGGCGGAAGGAGAGAGTGAATCAGCCAAGCTGATTTCTGATGCTACAGCTGCTGCTGGTATGGGATTGATCGAGCTTAGGAGAATCGAGGCATCCAGGGAGATTTCTTCAACATTGGCCAGGAGCAACAGTATCATGTACCTTCCAAACAGTGGCAGCCAAATGCTTCTAGGGCTTAATCCTTCTCGTTGAATAAGTAAGTTATTCTACCATTAGTTTTGTTTAATTTGCTTCTAAGATTTGCTACAATCACTATTATCAGACTACTTTTAGAGCTTATAGGTGCATCCAATTTAAGTTTTTCTTTTGAGTTCTTTTTCATTAAGAAGTGCGAATAAAAATCTTTACGTAAATGACCCATGCAGCTCCTGCAAATCCGAGCTTTACTGTTAGTATGAATATATCTTCACTGTTATTTGTTAGTTATATTAATTATATGACATATGCTCTCGCAATTGCTAGTTAGCTGGGGCTGTTTTCACGATTTTGTTGGTATAACATTTGTCATCTATTGTTATAGGTAGCTCAGTGCTCATGTAGTTCCTGATTCTTTGGTTGAAATCATGGAAACATATAAGAGATCTATTATTTTATGATTATAGTGTTTATGTTGAATGTTCATGGCTTTTGTTTATTGTGTGCTGAATGCTGCTCAAAGGACTTGTTTTGTGTCAAGGCTTAGTGAGTTTTTGCCTATATATAGGGCTGTGAACAAACTGAACGTTCAGTGAATTGTTTGTGAACAGTTCGGCGGGAAGTTCGTTTATGTTCGTTTATTTAATAAATGAACGAACATGAACACAAATTCTCGTTCGTTTAGTTAAACGAACGAACATGAACAATGGTCTCGTTCGTTCGATTATGTTCGTGAACGTTCGTTTATTTATGTTCGTTTATATAAGTTCCTTTTATGTTCATATATGCTTAATTGTGTTTGATTACATTACAATATATATTATATGTTCATATATGTTCAATTATGTTTGTTTATCTGTGTTCGTTTGTTTATGTTCGTTTAGCATGTTCACGAACATGAACAATGTAATTTGTTAAACGAACGAACATGGACAAGAAAACTCGTTCGTTTATCCGTTTGTATTCGTTTATTTGTTTGGCTAACTTAAACAAACGAACATGAACAAACACTCGTTCGTGTTCGTTTGGTTCGTTTACAGCTCTACCTACATAGATTGACCTATCACTTACGCCTTACATGTAATGTAATGTTTTTTTATGAGGTAAAATGTCTTTTATATATATATATATATATATATATATATATATATATATATATATATATATATATATATATATATATGTGTGTGTGTGTGTGTGTGTGTGTGTGTGTGTGAATAAGATTGGACCAAAAGTCTTTCTCCATGCCTTCAGTCTTCATAAAAAAAACTGATTATTTTTTAAAGTCTTCAGCTACATAAATGGGGGAGGTGGTGGCGTCGTGATGGTGGTGCAAAAAGGAAAAAATCAGAAACTATTTTTTTTTTGTCTTATGGAAAAAGAGGACAAGAAAACCATTCTATGCTCTTTGTCTTTTGATAAACAAACTGTTTTTTCCTCAAATGTCATTATGTCCGCAAACATAAGAGGTTAAGAATAGCTTTTGCAAAAAGAAAAAAAAAATCTCCTAAGCCTTTTATTTTGTGAAATTTACCATAGAATAAGTAGAATAAAGCAAATGATCCAATCGCTGATGGAAGTACTCTAATTCATTGAGATTACTTGTGAATTTAATCTATTTGGCCTATTACAAACTAGAATGTAATATAAAGTAATTCATTTATGGTACATTAGTTGATATTAGTGATGCACATTTCCGGTTTTCAAAGAGGGTTGAAACTGTTGGGTTTTATTAGTATCAATACATTTTCTAAAGGTAGCGGAAACAATCAAAGGTTTACCTAAATGTACATGTACCATAAGATCTAGGTTTTACTAAATATAGTAACGAACTTTAAAATACAAAATAAGAATACTAACATCTTGGTTTTTTCTTGAGATCTTGTGAATGTCAGCATTTGCAATGGATGAAGGACCCAAAATCAAATCACTTTAGTGTTGTCGGACCCGCAAACTCCAAAAGCTAACATAGGGTTTTTCGAAAATCCTATAACCCTAAGAGTAGGGTTATAATTTTCGTAGATGAGGAGAGAGGGAGAGACCTTGGATGAAAACAACCACTAGGGTTTGACCCATAGTAGTTTATTTATAAGCTACAGATAAATCATTAATGGATTCAAACTCTTTAGATTAATCCTTAATTATCATATTCAAACCTGCGTTATCTATATTAGGGGCTCTCTTAAACTGTCCATACATAGTATCCATGAGCTTCTGGAGTATTCAAATTAATCTCTAGGGATTAATTAATATTCAAGTTTTTTTTAGTTAATTAAAACTATTTAATTAATTACCAAAATAATTTCTAATTAATTTATTAATTACTTAATAATTTGACAATTTATTTTCTCCATTTTCTTATAGCTATTTAGTTAATGAGTGTGTATATTATTTCCAACAGTCTCCCACTTGGACAAGTCGTCAACTTTTCAAGGTCTTAATATTTCATTAAGAATCAATAGAGAATAGTTATCCAATGCAACTGCGAAACTCTGATCATAATCAAAATTTAGTCCTTAGACTAGTGATCAAATATTCTTTTGTTTTAGATATCTCTATGAACATGAGATATGGATAAGGGTCAATCTCGATGTTAAACGTTTTGTTTCCCGATTAACGATTTCTGACTATCACATCTGACTTCTAAATCGAACACATCAATTTAGTTAGGGCTCGACCAAGCACTTCAAATGTTAGCACCAAATCATCAAGGGGCCCATAAATATCGTTCCCCAGTTACGAGAATGAGCAAATAAACTTTGACTACATAGTTTTTGTCTACTCGTCTAATCATACATGAACATACCATTTATGACTACCAATACAGATGATATTAGGCACACCAATGCACAACAGATTTCGCAAACAAAATTTCATATGCATCTCAGTTTGAAAAATAAAAGATATTATCATCTTAGATTTACTCGTGGCTTGATCCATGAAGTAATCTTTAAGTGCGGGTTGTTCCAATACTTAAAATCTCTATTTTCAAGTACTCATGAGTGTTAGCACAATCTCTATTGCAATGTCCAATCTCTATGGTTAATCAACTAATACTTATGACAATCTTAAATCACCCACTCACTTTCCAGAGTGCGATCTACTGTCGATGTTCGAATATAATTAAATATTATGGAAGTGGGTTCAAAACATGAAAAAAAATGAAACACAATATTGAATTAACACAACTTTGATAGCAAGGTAAGCTCTTTATTAAGTCTAAACGAAATAAACATCAAAATGGTTACAATTCATACTGTTAAAATGTTTTTAAACAGTTAAAATTAATCAACTAAACTTTTACATCATATCACTATCTAGTCTCATGTCAATGGTCATCATATAACCATCATGTTTCTTTCTTTATAGTGACTTCGTGAAAGGATCAACGAGATTCTCTTTAGATGATACTCTATTCATGGCAATATATAAGTCTTCTACTCTATGTCGAACGTAATGGTATTTTCTGAGTATATGTCTCACATTACCATGATCCTTGGCTTCTTTAGGCAACGCGACTACACCCTCGTTATCACAAAAGATCTCAAAGGTTCTTTGATGTTTGGTATAACTCCAAGATCACCAATGAAATTCTTTAACCATGTAGCTTCCTGTGTTACTTCACTAGCTGCAACATATTATGACTCACATTTTGAGTCTGCCACTACCTTTTTGCTTGGAATTTTCCACGTAACGGCTCCTTCATTCAACAAGAACACCCATCTTGATTGCGAACACAAGATGTCCCTGTCAGTCTGGAAACTTGCATATGTATAACTTGTAACTCACAACTCTTCTCTACTTCCATATACTAAGAACATATCCTAAGTTCTTTTTAGATACTTAAGGATATTCTTTACGTCTGTCTAATGACTATCACCAAGATTATCTTGATATCAACTCACCATGCTAGTGCATATAAGATATCAGGTCTAGTACACGTCATGACATACATGATCGATCCAATAATAGAAGCATATGAGACTCGACTCATACTTTCCGGTTCTTTCGTATTAGGCGATTGGTCCTTACTCAGTCTTATTCCATGTTGCACGGGTAAATACCCTTTTAATAATCTTGCATTTTGATTCTTTTCAAAACTTTATCTAAGAATGTACTCTGGCTAAGTCCAACTAAATATTTTGATCTATCTCTATAGATCCTTGTGCCCAATATACAAGTTGTGTCTCCTAGGTCCTTTATAGGTTTGTTTTCCATTGTTGACATTAGATAGAGCCACATTGGATTCTTGACTTTGTATTTGTTTCACTTACTGCTCATTAGAGTCATACAAGATGCATGGTGTGCGGTTTGGGAAAGGTACACGCGATTACGACCGAGCTTCCAACTGACCTGGTAGTGCGTCATAGCGGGTTCCTAGAGTCATTCTTTCGTCTCTCTTTTCTCTCATCTCAACTTGTATCATGTGTGTCATAATTTGTAACAAGATGTGTGGGTTGTGAAGAATAGAATATCATGTGTTGTGGGTTGGGAGGGTTGGAAGTGAGAATAGATTGGAAAGTTGATGTGGATCTTATATGTCATTTGAGTTAGGAGGGATGGACTCCCTTCACCCTAAGGATCATACGCCTAAAACTTTATCCCTCCCAACCCACATAATTTATAAAAAAATAAAATAAAAAATTTACTAATTTAAAACTAAATAAATAAAACTATAATTAAAAATAAATTTTCATTAAAATCGCAAACCGCTACATTCATTAATCAAAATTAGAAAACGTTAATTAAAATGAAATGAAAAATATCATAAGTCTCAACCATAAATCGCTCATAGTTGCTGCTTGTGAGCGAGCGTTGCATTCTACATCCCTCCACTCAAATGGTTATGTGGCTGAAGATAGAACCACATTATTTTTTCATTCGTTTCCCTTGAGCAAGTGTAACTCCCCGTCCAAGATTTCCACTTTCTTTTATGTCTCCATTTCGATGATACACAATTTATCAATTCAGTACTTTCTGTCATCTGCCTATTGTTTGTTTAAATTGGTGAGGTCAATGATTTCGATGACGAGGGTTGTCATTTTATCCCGATGTAA